CTCTAAAGGTAAAAAGGAGTCAGTACCATTATTCAGCCGAAGCTCATACTGCGGAGGCGCTGAGGGGCGTGAGCCTGCCGGATTTATAGGCGGTGGCCTCACATTCATTTTTGTTTTCAGTGGCCGGTGTCTATCAGGGTGATATCTTTCTTCCTCATACCGTGCCACCTCCTCCTTTAGACCACCTTCTTCGCTAGAATACAGAGTGTCAGAATCAGAATTATCTAGCTCCAAGGCTTCTAGCTCTACTGTAGGGTATAGACTAGATTCTGGCTTTTTCTTTTTCTTAGATTTGTTAGGGGGTGAATGATCACTCCCTTCTTTCTCTCCCCCTTTCTTAACTTCTTGGGGAGGGCCTTTTTTCTTAGACATGTCTTTCCTTTTGCGAGCTCCCATTCTCTCACTCCGTTCAGTTTCTGACATGCTATCCTGAACTTCCTCTAAGGTTCCCTGACTTTCTACTATAGCAGGGTGACAGGCCTCATCCTCCAAGCAGTTTTTAACTAGCTTCCAAATGGCTTTGGTACCTAAGTGGAGATCTCCTTCTGCATGCTTCCTGTCTAGTTCTTTACCTAGCTTGTTCCATGAGGCCACAGTGAGGGACCCGGAACAAGCATACCATGGTGCCACTCTATCTACCTCCTTCACAAAATTTTGAAGTGTTCGTGGTGCAATTTTAAGATCTCTTTGTTTTAGCACAGTCTGTAGGGCAGTAACCACTGACTGTGACAACCCCATCGCGCTAGCGGCTTATCTAAAAACGGCGCTCAACTCCGTTACCAGACTGACAGCACCAAACTGACAGCACCAGACTGACAGCACCAGACTGACAGCACCAGACTGACAGCACCAGACTGACAGCACCGTTCTGTCAGCACCAGCCACGATGAAGGAGAAGGACAAACAGGACTAGCACCAAAGCCTCCACTGACCCGTCCCACGGTGATGACAAACTAAGGCCAAAGTCGAGAAAGGGGGTATTCAGGATAAAGCATACCTCTCTGAACTTACGTCCCTGCAGTTCTGAATCCGCCCCGTCTTCCGAGGGGTCTCCCGCGGCGCTGGCGATGTTGAAGAGTTCCCGGGTTTCGGCACCAGATGTCCCGCGCTACCGTCTCGCCAGCAAGAACGACGCAGAACACTCGGATCCTTCTGCAGTAAAGCTTTAATGCATCTTGAGAGATAGATGATCAGCTTCTTAGAGGGAGACCCCAAGCTAAGAAACCCAGCCCCTTATATAAGCCTAGGAGCTCCGAGTGAGACGTGTAGAGCCGGGATTGGTGGTTTGCACATCACCCCAGATGACGCCACGGGAGAGGCACAGCTTAAACGGTTAACTCCAACTGACAGCAGATGTCAGCGCCATCTTCTAATGGCAATAGCGATAGCGAGGGCGGCTCCTCACAGTTAGCCAACCCTTCACCAGGGTAGTCAACAAGAAAATAAACAAATACTCTGCAAAGTTAAAGCAGGAAGAGTTAAGTGACATCAGTTACTTACACCTGTTGACCACCGTTGGATGCTATCCCACACAATGCTACACAAAGGAAACCTTAGCTTTGTCTTCCTGAAAGGATCTGCTATAGGAAAAAATGACTAGTAAAGGACCAGACAGCACTGGGATAGTGAGAGAACTCAGCTTATTTCATTCCAGTGATCATGGACTTTGATGCAATGAGAATCCTTGCCCTAATCTACAGATTTGGACAGATTTTATAGGCTGAATAACACTGAGACCTTTCCATCTGTGCCACGTGCACATAGGTAGTGGGGAATGGTCTTCTGTGTATAAATTTCTCTTATTGGTTAACGAATAAAACACTGATTGGCTGAATTATTAGACAGAAAGTGATGTACCTGGGCAGAGTCAGAATATAATCGGGGACAAACAGGAAATCACTCTCTTCTCTGTGGAGACACTGAGCAGTCATTGTGTAGCAGGTCAAGGAGTTTCAGGTCTGGCATTCCCCGGTAAGATAAGCCCACATGGAAATACATAGATTTGTAGTTATGGGTTAATAATTAAGACAGAGGTAGGCAATAAGAAGTGCTAGTCACTGGTCAACAGATTTATTATTAATATAGCATCCATGTGTTCATTTAGGGCTGAAGCAGCGGCTGGGCCTGCCAGGCCCGAAATCTCTCTTTGCAGATAGGCTCTGTGTTTCATGACCACTGAAGGTTAGGCTGGTCTACAAAAGCAGAACTTATGGGGTACACATGTTGTAAGAGATAACTTTCAAGCTAGGAGGAAAAAAGGGTTCAGCTGAAGCAAGCAAGAATACATACAAATGCAGAATTCATATATTTTATCTAGCTTTGTTGGAAGTAAAATTTTAATTTTAATATTTTTGTAATTCAAGACATTAGTTTGTCTGCTTGGGGTGTATATTAAAAGTAGTAAGTGTATTACATCCATTTTTTTCTCTCCTTCAAAGCAATGTAAGAATCTGTGAACTGACACATAAAGAAAGATAAAATTGGCTCAGAAATTACTGCTATATTTAAGGATAATCAGAGAAGAAATTCTAGGAATAAAATGTTTTCTGTGAATCTTGAAAGATGGGCATGATGCCATGGGTGGATGATGATAAGGAAATGATAAGGGGCATCCCTTAAACACGTGAGTGGTTGCCAAGCAATAGGGCAGTAATGTTTGGGAGAAGAGCAGGAATCCTTGCGGGAGATGTGATGGGAGTGAATGGAGACAGTGGATATGGCAGGAGCACAGGAAGAAAAGGTGTAAAATGTGGAGGGCGTTGCTTTACTTGACTGGATTTTCAGACATAAACTTCAATCATACTTACATATATGTTCAGGTTCAAATCAAATTATACCTTCCCTATGTTCAACAACATCGTCGAGCCTTAATAGGTATCATTTTCATTAACACCAGAAACATTTTTGTCAACAAAATTCTTTTATTAATTCTTTGGGAATTTCACAACATGCACCCCAATCCCACTCATTTCCAAGTCCTTCCATGTCTGCCCTCCACCCATGTAGCCCCCACAAAAAGAAAATTTAAAAAGCCACTGTGATCCTCTGTGTTTCCTACCTCTCCATCCCATCCTCACTTGTCATGTTGGCTTGGGAGCTGTGGTGTGTCACAAAGTATATCCTCTTGCCCAACAGCTTTACCTGCAAATGTTCATTCCAAAGAGTTGTTGGTCCGCTTCAAGGCCTCTGGCTTCTGGTACAACATCGATACTGGACTCTCACAAAAGCTTCTCTTGGATATCCTGCTGTTGCCCAAGCCACCTGCCAGAAACATCTCATTACCTTTTGCTTTCAATGATTTATCTGTGATGTTGGTATTATATCTGCGACATTGTAAAACACAATAATGCAATAAAATGTTTCCTAGTGATATATACATGTATCATACTATAGGAGTTCATATATATGAAATATGATATATATTAGCTACATGTATTTCATATATATGAACTCCTATAATGTATATTAACTATACTATATATAGTATATTAGTTATATGTCTATATATTATGTATGTATATTAGCTAACATATATATATATATATATATATAGTTACCAATCTACAGGCAGTAGGACCTAGGATAACAGAGCCGATAAATGAGGTGAACTAAAGCCTCATGCAAGAGACAACTTTATTCAAAGCTTGAAAACAATTTATAATATGAAGGTTAAGAAAGATCACATGAGTAAAGTTCATATGCATTCAAGCTGTATACAGTCAAAAGGACAAGCCACACATGGAAAAAAACATGTTTTCCATAGAGGCATATAAAGGATAGTTTAAACATTAACTGAATAACAACAGCAAGCAATAGTGATTAATCTGAAGTAAACTCAGTCCAATCTGCTATACCTGGAGAGAGCACAAAAACACATTCCATGAACAATTCCATGTGTTGAAGAAACTGAAATGACAAGACTCCTGTCTTGTTTCCTTTGAGGGTTCTCACAAGCCCCTAGAAGTCTCACAGGACTCCATTCATGAACCATGTGCCAACAAGATATATATATATATATATATATATATATATATATCTGGATATGCACATATATGGATTTGTAGGCTACATGATGTCTGTCACCGCTGCTCTGTCCCATAGTCACAGCATGAAATCAGCCATAGGCAACTTTTAAACAGACACAGATATTTCCCAATGAAACTGTTTATAAAATAAACAGTGTCCACAAACTTCCAGAATTTATCAGCCTCAGAGGCTACAATCAGCATCTGCTCACTTGAACGAAGTGACTTCTATGCAATTTTATGGCTAAAATTGGTAAATGAATAAACACCTGGCACCATTTTAAGAAATTGTTAACCATGTCTTCCAACTGCTCCTTGTTTATCTACAGTAATCAACCACCACAGACCTGATTGGATTGGTACTCTGACAGGCCATATCATCTACTAAAGGTCTGAAGTAGCAAGACTGCACGCCTCATAGTCCAGCCAACGCTAGCATGATAACAACAGTTTGTGTGGCAACTCCACTATTCAACTTAAAATTACCTTATAATTATTTAGTCCAAATGATATGTACATGTTTTGTTCATATTAATTCAAATACTGAGGATTTGGGAACATTGAGAGTATGTGCTGTCATGTCAGAGTAAGATGTGAACACTTGCTTAAAGGAATTTAACAAATGTGTCTCAATTCTGACAAAGAATATTGGTAACTGGTAGCAGACAGGGGCTAGGACAAGACTAATTACAGCGAGAATTGAAGAAAAAAGGCAGCAACATCAGGAGGCTTAGTCTTCCTAGGACATGTATCTAAGAGACAGACTGCAGGTTCAGAAGCCATGCTGACCCATACTGATCTGTGAGCAAGATATCTGTCTTAAAGTTATGTCTAAGTTTTCTAAGTGGGCTTGCTAGAAAATCATCTTATTCCCATTTAATGAATGATAAAACTTGTTACTATTTCTTCCCTTCTTCATTATAACTTCTTTTATCTTTTGTGATCATGTAGATGAATCTATATGGGTCTCTTTCTTTAAACATGACATGATTCACAGATGTGTGTGCTATCCTTGTGCAGGAGCCATGTGATTCTGCTCTGTATTGACCCAGTGTTAGTATATGTATTGCCAGGATGAGTATTAAATAAACAAAGATGTCCATACAAAGATCCCACATAAGTTACAAGTTTCCTCTATGAATCTTAGGTTTTTCCAGTTCTATGAATAATATTAGTGGAACTTGGATGGAGACTGCATTGAATCTATAGCTTGCTTTTGTTTAATGGCCATTTTGCAGGATTAATTCAAATGATCTATCAGCATAGGAGGTCCTTCCTTGTCTACCCTCTTGCAGCTTTCTTCTTCTTCAGTGCTGTAAAGTTTTCACTGTAGAAGTCTCACACATCCTTACTCAGATTTATTTCCAGGCATTTCTTGAAGTTTCTGTGAATGTGATTGTTTTCCTGATATAGCTATGTTTTCTGATTAGATATATTCAGTCCTGATGGAGGAGAGAGACTCAGAAGACTCAAGATGCTGGAAACTTACAAGACTCAGGAAGCACACGAAAGTTACAGCATCCACAAGGACCCTCCCTAAGCAGTGAGAAATTAGGTGGGTGAGGGTAGAGAAATCTTCCAGTGTTAGTTGGGGCAGGAGCTACATTGGTGTAGCTTTTCCAAGTTGTCACTTGTGTTGTAGTGGGCTTTTCCAACAGTGTGTTTGACTTTGAGTTATCATGCTTCTGCAGTTATCCCACATCCATGCTCCTGTAACTCCAGAAAATTCATCCATCCTTTGTTCTGTTTTCAGTGCCCTACCTAGGGTGAACAGATGTTTCTTTGCCCCTCCAAGAAAAGTCATGAAACACTCTCGCCCCTGTCCTTAACAGCATTGGTACCTCTGTGTTTTTCTTGATGATAGTCATTTTGACTGGGGTGAGGTAGAATCTCATTGCAGTTTTGATTTGCATCTCCCCAATAAAGAAGGATCCTGAATATTTTCACGTGTTTATTTTATCTTAACTTTTTGTAAGACTTTTCTCTAGGTTTTATAACTTGAGTTAATAGGATTATTTTAATACCCTGCAGCTATTTATGATTTCCAAAAGAAGCCTATTGTAGTCATATTTTCTGCACTAAAACAAAAGGTGAGAAAACAAAATATTAACCTCTGCCGTATTCCTGGATGGAACTGTGGACAGGAGCATGTTTCTTATTCCAGCCCTAGCAAAAGACGTCAGCTTTGAGTCAGTGTGGGATTCCAGCCGTGCACCAATTCTCTGCCTATTCCCAAGGGTAGGCAACTTTTCCTTTGGCATCCTAAGTGGTCATAGAGATTGTTGTATGTTTGTTTTCAAATAGGCTTTGATCTTGCTTTCTCCATTGTGCCATTGCAGAATTGAATTTCAGAAACATAATAGAGCTCTGATACAGGTGAATTTCAAGGACAATTTTGTTGTTTGGCCCTTGCTCCCTTCCACGCCATTATAATTAACTGTATTGATTGAATCTTTAACACGTTGATGATATTACTTTTGTTTCTTTTTCTTTGCAATACATGGTTTATTTTTGTCTTTCTGCTGTTGTGTTCTTTACCCTAGAATCTGCTTAATGTTTTTATTCATTGAAGCTTGCTCCTGTCAGACCCGAGCAGACTAAATGAACCAATGAGGCAGATGCACCTTCATAGCTCGGCAATTGGAGCCAAAGAGACAGACTCAGAGCCTTCATGGCTTTCCTTGAAGGTTGTGGTTGATGGGAATGAATGACCCAGAATCTGAAGAATATCACCATGTGTAACTTCAGGAAGATTTAGCATGGCTCCATGGGATGTGTCAGGCAGGTTACTAGTCAGGAAAGCTACAGGGAGGCTTCCTAGCTCCAAGAAACTGGTCTTATTAATGACGTGTTAGAGGTAAGCCGTATGTCTTAGAGTTTCTATTGCTGTAGAAAGGCACCATTGCCACATCACTCTTGTAAAGGAAAACATTTAATGACAGTTTCATGGGTCTAGTCCATTATCATCATGGTGGGACATAGTAGAATGCAGGCAGATATGGTGTGGGAGAAGAAGCAGAGTCCTGCATGTTAATCTGCAGCTATCATGAAGTGAACTGAGACATTGGATATAGCTTTAGCATATCTCACCCCCACAGCGACACACTTCCTTCAATAATGCCAAAACTATTCCAATGAGACCACAACTCCTAACAGTGTCACTCTCTATGAGTTTATGGAAACCAATTACACTCAAACCACTATACTGTATAAACAAGTATACTAAAAAAAAAGGAATATGTTACAGAGTTGAAGTCCTCAGAAACAATTTCCAATGTTTCCCTAAAAACAGCAAACATAAGGCTCAAATTACATTGCCAAATACAAAGCTCAAATTAGACCGACTTCCAAAGTGGCTAGACTCATATTTCCATGTTAACTCCTGCCTGCTTTGCTGTGACAGGTTCCATTCATCTTTAATGATGTGATTACAACCATAATCCTTTTTTCAACAATCTTGTCCTTGCTTCTTATGTAAATTTAAAAGTAGATAAAATAAAAATGCATTAAATTCTGCATTTGTAATTTTCATACGACTATTGGCCCCACATTTTTATAAAGTTCACTAAAATTACTAATCAAAAATTGCCCCACATTACAATTTCTCTTCTTGGCTCTTTTTCTGATAAAAGAAGAGAAAAGATTTAATTCAGAGTCCAGAGTGCTAACAATTACACAATGCAACCCCACAAAAATATTTAATTCTACATAGTCTTCCTTCACTATTTTTAATCTTTTTTACCTGTAACCTCCACTAAGATTCATATTTAGTCATATGGTACAGAATCTTCTAAAGATCTCATGCTAATTTCTTCCACATAGCCATTAGAAAGCAAAAGTATACACACAGAATCCATTCTCAGTGTTTGGTTTTAGGATAGCAGGAGGGTAAGGTAAGGTGTGAAGTGAGTGATGGTAGAGAAAAAGCCTTACAAAACACTGCTCTGTATAAGTCTTTTCACATACATGTCTTGCTTGTAAAATGAAGGTTGCACCAAGCTACAAATGAATTCTTTGTATTTAACCACCCCCACAAAGAAAATGTATTTGCAAAGAAAACTAAACCCACAAAGTGAGAAAGACAGTAGATACATAGAAAGGAAGATAGAGTTCTGCATTCATGAAGGGAGTAGAAATGACCATGTCATTAATTTTCAATAATTTCAAATAACTTTACTATATTAAACTATAATGTGATAACAGCAGAATCTGCAATATCTGAATTGCATTTTTTAAATTTTCACTTTGAGTTCTTAAAATGGAGTCCTTTTAGTTTGAAATTGAAATGGGAAGATATTTCAAAGATACCATAGCAACCCTGACTTTGCTTATCAAGTGGCAAGCTGTTCTCTGACTCAGAGACTGCTCCTGTGGCTTCAAGGCATCACTCTCCACAAGAGATGGGAAGCAAGGGACTAGGAGGACCACCTCTTGGAGGTGACAGCTCCTCCTTCCCATGTGGTCCATTAGTCCATTCATGAGGGACTCACTCTTGGCTCTTCATGGGAGGCCACACCTTCTGCTTTCTGACTAAACCCTAAAGGATTTAATTTTTACTTGAAGCTTCTATTTTAAGATAATTTTACACTGCATAGAGTTGTAAGAAACAATATAGATAGACTCTGTGCACACATATTCTTTAGCTTATCACTCCAGGTTCAGCAATGTACAAAGCCAATATATAATATCACAATCAGGAAACATGAGAGTGATAAAGTCAAGATATGCAGTATTTACATCATCACCAATAATCTGTGAGTGTTGTCATTCTGCAATTATATTAACTTCCTGTCTCTACTACTTCTGTAAACCCTGGTAACCACTAATCTATCAATCTTTTCTCAAATACTATATCATTTTTGACAAGAATGTCAAAATAATTCAATGAGGGAAAATAGTCTTTTCAACAACAGAGATTGGAACACAAGATGTCCACATGTGAAATGATGAACTTGGATCATTCTGTATTAATTAGGGTTCTCTAGAGGAAGTAAACTGATATAATGAATACATATTCATTCAAATATATATGTGTGTATAAATATATAAATATCCTTTATATGTTATAATATATATATATATATTAAAGGGAGATTTATTAGGGTGGCCTATGGACTTAGTTTCAGCTAATCCAACAATGACTGTCTTGGAGCAGTAAGGCCAAGAGTCTGGTAGTTGTCCAGTATGTGAGGCTGAATGCCTTATTTTGTTTTCAAGTCTACACTGGAATTCTAAACTAGAAGAAATGCTTCAGTAGCAGAATGAATTTGCCAGCAAAGTGAGAGAAAGCAGGCAAAGAGGAAAAAACAGCTTCCTTCTAGCTCCTTTTATGTAAGCAGCCATGAAAAGAAATCTAGTGTGTATCATAATTATCCAATTAATAAAGCAGATTGCTGATTTAGTGGATTCCAAATGTATTCAAGTCCAGAAATAGACAACCAAGATTAGACATCACACCTTCCCAGAACCAAAGTGACCTTGCTTGATTATGTGTGAGTCCAAAAGAACAAATAACAAAAGAAAACGCAGGCAATGTAGACTTTATCAAAGTTAACCTGCAGGTAAACTAGACTTCATCAAAGTTAACACAGGTAAAATGGAATTCCTACTTAAAAACTTTTGTGCCCCAAATCATACCATAAAGAATGTATCATATATATGTATGTGTATATCACACCCAAGCAAGATAAAAGATTTGAAAATCAGGTAGCTATTAATAGGATTATAGTACCTAACCTCTATAACATCAATTATAAAGACTTAGTAATCCAATAAACTGGAAAACACCTTTTTTCACATATTCGATGAATTTATTACAAATTAGTGATACCAAATGAACAGTTTTTCCTTTTTTGAATTTACTTATTTTACATCCCAACCTCAACTTGCCATCCCTCCTCTCCTCCCATTCTGTCCCCACCATCTCCCTTCTGCTGCTCCCACTCCTCCTCTGTTTCTTCAGAAAAGGGCAGAGCTTCCATGGATATCATCAGAATGTGACACATTCAGTTGCATTAAGACTAAGCCCCTCATCTTATATTAAGGCTTGGCAAGGCAACCCTCTATGCGGAATAGCATACCA